AGCCCCTGGCACCATGAGGGTATCGAGTGCATAGTGACCTGTATAGGGTCCAGAGAGCCAAGTTCCAGTCTTGTGTCTGCCACCAGCTTGCTGTGTGACTCTGGACATGGCATTGCCCTCTCTGTATTGCCATACACAAAACAAGGTTGTTGAACTGGACATGAACCAACCTCCCTGGACAGCCACTACGGCACACTCACAGATGAGAGTGTGATGTGTGCAGGCCCACAGATGGAGCTCAAGATCCACTCATACATTCACTGGAGCATCTATGGAGCACCGACTGTGTGCAAGCTCCTTGGTAAGCTTCCGGGTTCATGCATTACAGTCTAGTGGGTGGAAAGATGTGGTCTCCCGCCAACGGTCAACAAATGGAGACAGTGCTCGTCTCCCCAGGGACCATGACAACAAAGAGGACGATGATGGTGGGATGTGATTCGTGAGCGGGGACATGCTGACCAAGGCTTTGGTAGCTGTGGGCGGCAGAAGGAAGGGCCCCCCAATGGTCCACGGCCTGATATCTGGGACCTGAGGGAGAGGTGACGAATGACCAAGTCATGAATAAAGATACACAACAGGCCAAGCAGAAGTTGCACAGCTGCTGGTCATCGGTCCTCGCTGCTGCTGTCCGTTGCCGTTGCTCGGCCCCGACTCACCGCGACACCACGTCAACAGAACGAGCTGCCGCCGGGCCCTGCACCCCTTCAGCACTGTCGCTGCGCTCGAGTCCGTGGCTGCAGCCCTGTCACTTCTGAGTGCCTTCCAGCCTAGGGCTCATCTTCCCACACCACAGTGGTGGTGCTGTCGTGGGGCGCCATCAAGTCGATCCCGACTCACAGCGACTCCATGTGACAGAGAACTGCCCCATGGGAGTTCCAAGGCTGTAAATCGTTATGCAAGCAGACGACGTCATCTTTCTTCTGGAGAACAGCAGGTGGGTTTGAACCACTGACCATTTGGTTAGCAGCCAAATGCCTTAACCACACCACCACCAGATGTGTATGTCATTGTTGCTGTTAATTGCCATCGAGTCGTCCCTGACTCACAGCGTCTCTGACACAGCAGAACGAGATACTGCCCGGTCCTGTGCCAGCCTCATGATCCTTGCTCGACCTGAGCCCATCATTGTAGCCACTGTGTCAGTCCATCTCGCTGAGAGCCTTCCCCTTCTTTACTGACCCTCCACCTTACCAAGCATGACATCCTTCTCCAGGGAATGGTTCCTCCTGACAACATGACCACAATAGATGAGACAAAGTCTGGCCATTCTCACTTCCAAGGGACCATTCTGGCTGCACTTCCTCCAGGACACATTTGTTAGACCTTTTAGCAGACCATGGTACTCTTAGAAAATTCTTCTCCCAACACCATAACTCAAAAGCATCAACTCTCTGGTCTTCCTTATTCATTGTCCAGCTCTCACATGCATAACAGGCAACTGAAACTACCACGGCTTGGGGTAGGTGCACCTTAGTCTTCAAAGGGACATCTTTGCTCTTCAACACTTAAAAGAGATCTTTTGCAGCAGATTTGCCCAATGTAATACGTCGTCTGATGTCTTGACTACTGCTTCCATTGGTGTTGATTGTAGAGCCAAGTAATATGAAACTCTTGACAAACTCAGTCTTTTCTCCATCCACCAAGCGCCTTGTCCTGCACAGGTGCCTGCGGATCACACCCTGGGGCAGTTTGGAGGGTCATTCTCTCATCTATTTTTCCAGAGCCTGGACCCTTGTCCCCTGGCCTTGGCCAAACGTGCAGAATAGCATTTGGAGTCACGTGTTAGGCCAAAATCCACCGCAGACTCAGCCATTGGGGGTCCTTTGGCCAAAAGTGTGCTTCCCTTGCAGACCCTTTTGTTCCTTGGCAGGGGGAGCACTCTTCTGCCTTCAATCTGAGGCTGCCATTAACCCCTTTGATCTCCTCGCTAACCATGTGGCAGGGGACAGCTTGCAGCTGCTCCACACACTGGGTGTTGGGGGCTGCACCGATTGTCAGCGCTGCCGCTCTGACTCCAAACCAAGCCGTTACCTGAAGGGAGGCAGTTCACCACCACCCAGATCCACGGCTGGGGTCGGGTTTGCCCAGGAGTGAGGGGAGACTCATCACATATGGGGACTGTGGCTAGCAGGGCGACGCTGACCTGCTGCTACCGTGTCCTAGTCTGGGAGCTCCACTGAAACGTGTTCACAGCCCCCTGCCAGCCTCCAGTACGGATGGAGGGGTGGAGCTGCAAATGATGTGCAGCAGCCAGGAATCGAAGCCGGATCTCCCTCGTGGGAAGCAAGGGACCCCCAACTGAGCCCCCTGCCGCCAATGGTTTCAAGGGTAGCCTCAAAACTGACAGTCCTCCCAACAAGAGGAGAGGTCTACAATCCCCTCCCTTGAACCCGTGATGGCCTGGTCCATGGAAGCCAGGCCCGTGATGGCCTGGTCCGTGCGATATGGCAGAAGCAGTGCTGGGCCAGTTTCTGGGTCCAGGATTGAAGACGCTGGCTGACTCCACGTCTTCTTCTGAGATGCTCGCTGTTGTAACTTGGCCACCACGCTCTGAGGAAGTCTTAACAGCCACATGTGGACATGAAGAAAGGTCCCTCACCCTCAGCCCTGGCCGAGCTCCCAGCCAACAGCGGGCACAACGTGAAGGCGACATCTTGAAGAGGCATCTCGAGCCCAACTGAGCTGGCCCAGGGGCTCTGTGGGGGGCCTTCTCTGCTGAGTACCTGCCCAAACTGCTGTAAATGGTGGTCATTGCTTTAAGTCACTAAGTTTGGGGATGGTTCTGAGGCCGCAGAAGAGACTGGAATGGATGGTCACATGACCCTGAGTATGAGTATGGAGGCTTCCACAGCCCACCCACTGAGATGGGTGCAGGGTTGGGCATGGACCTAAGGGAGGTCAGTTGGTTCCATGGGCACTAATTCCAGACACTGGCTCAGATGGTAAAGTGGGCTTCTCCCTTCCCACTGACCTTGGCACTGCCATGGTGTAAGCCCAGAGGGTCTCACACCCACCCTGTCAGGAAAGCCTGCCCACGAGTGCTATGCAGGGGAGCAGAGCTGGGTCCTGACTACTACATCACCAGCATCCCCGAATCGAGCTATTCCTGAAGCCATCCCACCCCTAGAATATTCAGTTCTTTAGGCTCAGACAGCTTTGTCTTGGCTTCCAGTTCAAGTTAGCCTTTCTGTGACCTGCAGAGTCCTGGCTTTTCCACACTGGGACCAACATAAGGGGAAATACCATCAAACAGTCCCTGCCATGGCACCTGGTACCCTCCATGGTGCATGGGGTGGGAAGCAGACATGCCCAGCCCCAGGTCACTCACTTCACGAAGGGTCCCAGGCCTGATGACACTAATTTGGGGCAGTCTGGGTCTGTGGGAAAGAAACAAAGCCTTCTGGAGTGATCTGGGGAGCAGCCAACCGGCCACCCAGAGGTTAGGGTGCTGCTTCAGCCACCCCCACATCCTGCTTCCTCCCCTCATCGCCCCGCCCCATACCTCTCACACACAGGACCCCTTCTCCTCCCCTTCCTGCAACCTGACTGCTCCTGCCAATCAGGTAGGCCGAGAATGGCGCTAGAGCTCACCTTCTGAGGCGCGTGGGCTGTGGAAGTCTCCATTCTGAGGCTTGACCTAAGTTCAGATGCCATCTGAGAGACCATTAAACCAGCCATGTGGCTGTGCAAAGACAAGGCCGGGACGATCCTAGGGTGGGCAGTGTTACCCCCAGAAGAGTGTGGCTGAAAGGGGCTTAACTGGCAGGACACCGGCATCTTAGAGAACCTGCTAGGGCGTGTCCTTAATGGTTTACCAGGAACAGCCGCTCATGCGTTACCTGCTTTACATGGCGGGGTATGGAGACTGTGACTCAGGGCCCCACGGTCACAAGTCGAATCTGGGGCAGGGGCGGTGAGTGGGGGTCTGGGTCCTGAAGGGACCAAGGACAGGCACATGTCACGGAGCATGGCCGCCCACACGCGCTCAGAGAGACAATGTAGCTTGGTGGGGTTGATTAACGCACAGCAGGCTGACGACGTACCAACTCCGAGTGACGTCCCAGCCGTCGGTACGGCCCAAGTGCTTCGGATCCCAGACGCGGGGCTGTGGGCCAAGCGGGGCCAGGAGGGGCCAGATTTCTAGTCTAGGATAAGGCCCTGAGGAAACCAGCTCAGCCTGGGCCCGCAGACCCCTGGGCCTGGTCAGCCAGCAGAGGGATCCCAGGGGCTTCCCTGTAGTCCTGCTGGGCTCAACCGAAGAGAGCCCTGGCACGTAGAAATGGTGCGAGAGAATTTGCTTTGTAAATTAAAATGGTGACAGACCATTCTAGAAGGATCTGGAGGCACTGGGAAGTGTTTTTCTTGATACGGGCATGTGTACTTTTACAATTACTAGTTCATGTTCCCAAAATCTTCCAAGTGCAGAAGACGTTCACGCTTGAGACTAAGAGGCCTCACCAGGTACGACGGCCTAGCTCCCCAGTGGCCCATGTGCATCTGGGGCTGCCCACACACGCCTGCCTACACTCTGCACCCCGTGGGGCCGGCACGGCCTTCTCCCATGTCCCCAGCACAGGCCGCCTTCCCAGCTTCCCAGTGGGCCCAGGTACCCAGGCTATGCTCACAGAGCAGGTTCCGACTCAAACACGCGCCCAGCCAAATGCTCTTCAGTATGGGTGGCAGCCCCCAGGCACCGGGGCTACTGAAATTTACGTGAGTAGATGTTCCACGAGAAACTCCCACCTTCAGTCCCAGCGGCAACATTTCAGGTGCTCGGTGGCTGCCTGTGGCTTGTGGCCACCATTCTGGACAGAGAGGGTGACATAGTCCTCAAGGCAGAAAGTGCTGTTGGACTGAGCTGGTGGCTGGTGACCAACAAACGGTGCAGGAGGGAGGGCAGGCGGCAGGCAAGAGGCAAGCAAACACATTCTGTGAGCCCCCAACTCAAGCTGCGGTGGCCCAGACAGTGGGAACCCCTTTCCCGACGCCCCTTAAGCCCCTTACAGCTCCCTCTGTGCGCTCATGACCCGGACCTCCTCGCTACACCTGGCGACAGTGATGGACAGACATGGGGAGGGGATCCCTGTTCACAGCGGACAGAGGTCATGCCTGCCTCCCGCGAGCTGAGCACGGCTCTGGGCGGTTGCCATCCTCCATCCCGAGCCTCCAGATGGAAGGCTTGCCCAGGGCCATCTAGTGGCTCCTACACCAGGCTTCCAGAAAACACCCGCAGGACGGGAGGGCTAGGTCACTTCTGTGGCCACACCATCACTGCCAATCAGGTAGGCTGGGAACAGCGTTAGAGCTCACCTTCTGAGGCACGTGGACTGTGGAAGACTCCATTCTGAGTCTTGACCTAAGTTCAGATGTCATCTGAGAAACCATTAAACCAGGCATGTGGCTGTGCAGAGACAAGGCCGGGACGATCCTAGGGTGGGCAGTGTGGTAACGTGACGAGTAACAGCGCCCACACACTGCGCATCCCTCCTGGGGCAGACACAGCCATGCACCTGAAATGAGCCCCCACCCTCTCCTCAGCCGTTTCTTACAGCCACCTTGAGCATCCCTGCGTCCACGCTGCCCTTCCACTTGACCACCCCAACCAGAGTGACTTCTCCGTGACCTGTGGTCACCTTCCAGGGTCTTACTCCGCCTGCCCTGCTCCACCTTGCCACTCTCTGCTTCTCAAGCCGCGACCAGCTTCTTCCATGCCCAGCACGCCCTCCCGGCCTACACACCTGCAGCCCCCCGCCAGGAGCGTCGGTCCCCCTCCCCCACGGCTCAGTCTGCAGGCCTCAGAGGCCCCTTCCTGGGGAACCTGCAAGGCCCTTGGATCTGCCCAACACCTGTCTTATGTTGAGTCCCGCAGAAGCAGGGTTCATGCCAGCGTGTTACGAGGGAAGGGCACCGTGAGGAAGAGGACAGGAGCAGGTAGGGACAGCCCGCAGAGTACATCATCTGGTCCCCGTGTTGGGCAGGCAGCTCAGGCCTGCTGGGACCACGGGGAGATGGCAGAGGCCACGGCCCCAAGCTGTCCCACCCGAGGGGAGGAAGCCAGAGCCCACACACTTCATCCATCGCTGGCTGTGGCTGCTCCTGCCATTGGTTCCCCAGCCAATCCAGCCTGTCCAAGCGGACAGAGATGTGGGACGAGTGAGTGCCTCCTACAGTGCCCCACACCCTGTCTGTCACTCCCCACGACCAGCCCACGAACAACCTGGGGGTGCCTCACGCTTCTCACTGTCTCCCCAGTGACTCACATGGAGCCTGGCACATAGCAGACACCCCAGAAATGTTTGTTGACTGAAGAAGTGAGTGACTGCTAAAGGGTGATGCTTTGGGGAGAATGACAAAATGTGCTGGGACTAGACGGTGGTGGCAGCCGCACACCTTAACGCACTGTTAAAGGGTGAGGTTTGGGTAGGGAATTACATGTCCTTTTTAACAAATCCAATTGAAATGTGACTTAGGCTATTTACAGTGAAACAGGCTACCTGAGGCCACAAGGCACTGTCGCTGCGGCCTGCTGTCCTCCAGAGGGAAAGCAGCTCAGAGCCATACCCTCCCCGAGGGCATGTTGTTGTTGTTGTTGTTATTTGCCATCGAGTCGCCCCCGACTCATAGCGACCCCTCCTTGGGTTTCCGAGGCAGTATCACTACGGAAGTAGGATTGCCCAACCTTCCTTCCGAGGAGTGGCTGGTGGGTTTGAACTGCCAGCCTTCTGGTTAGCAGTCAAGTGCCTTAGGCACTATGCTACCAGAGCTCCTCCCCGAGGGCATGGAGGGGACAAAATTGGAGGCAAAAGCCATCAGAGAGCGCAGCCGTGGCACCTCACACGCACCCACCAACTCACAGCACATCCACGACACGGTCACCACGGCAACTGTTCATTTTATGATCTATTTGTTTCTGAGTGGCGGGCAGGGCCTGTATCAGCAGGGTCCTCCGACGGCAGACTGTCCTGGCAGCCTGGTCTGTGACCTGGTCCTGAGAGCAGCTCCCGATTCCACCATCAGGCCCAGAACAACTGCCTGCGAGCAGAGAGAGGGGCTCAGACACCCCGCCCCCAGACGCCCTGCTGCTCTGAGGACCCCCAGAGGACAGGGCGCAGTGAGGGGCTAGGGGGCACACCCCAGCCTATCAGAGCCCCCTTCTGGGAAACACAGGCCCCCCCATCTAATAACCACCCTACTCTGATCCCACTGTAGAACGGGAGAGGAGGGCAGGGAGAGGTGGGCGGTGCAGTTCTGACCACGTGGACCGGGGCTCCAGCAACCACGAGGCCAGGCTCCTTGTCCAGAAGGTACCTCACTCAGCTCTCCCGGAGCCCAGGCAGCTGGTGCCTGACACCAGCTCAGCGTGGAGTTTGGGGATGGACTTCCTTCCCTCCTCCCTCCTCCCTTCCCTTTCTCCTTAGCTCCCCCCCACATACAAACCACTCGGCTCAGGCACAGTTACACATCTCTTGGATCGCATTTGCTGGAATAAGGACATACCCACACTGTGTACAACACAATGTAACTATACTATAAATACGTTGCTACTGTCAGGGGCTGCAGGATCAGCTCCGACTCCTGGCTGCCCTACATACACCAAATGCCCCATTGTGCAATACAAACATAAAAACCAAACCAAGCTAACTGCCGTCAAGTGGGAGCTGACTCACAGCGACCCCTCCTTGGGTTTCTGAGGCAGTATCACTGCGGAAGTAGATTGCCCAACCTTCCTTCCGAGGAGTGGCTGGTGGGTTTGAACTGCCAGCCTCCTGGTTAGCAGCCAAATGCCTTAAGCACTATGCCACCAGAGGTCCCATAACACAAACACAGTATATTTAATGATACATTATTTACGTTAAATATAAGAAAACATAAGTATATTTTTAAGGTATCATGCTGTTGTTTTGTGCCATTTAGTCGATTCCAACTCACAGCACCCCTAGAGGACAGAGTGGAACTGTCCCTCAGGGTTTCCAAGGCCGTCAGTCTTTATGGAAGCAGACGGCCTCATCATTCTCTCAAGGAGTGGCTGGTGGGTGCAAACCACTGACCTTAGAGTTAGCAGCCGAGTGCTAAACCATCGTGCCACCAGGGGTCTTTAACAACATAACAGCAGCAATGATGGCATTCCCAGTTCTCACACTCTCTAACTGCATAGCTGAGTCCCTCCGCGGCCCTGACTCACCTGAGTAACAAGCCTGTGACCCTGTGTGAGGGCAGACCAGCCCCGGGAAGTGGCGACCTGGCCAGGCCACCCGGCCGTGCCCTGGCCCCTGCTCACCGAATGGCCGCCAGGACCCTCAGGATGGCCTGGAGGACGGTCAGGAGGCTGAGACCAAGGGGGAGGAGGGGCAGGAGTTCGGGGTCGAAGAGGCAGGCTGCCGCGTGGGGAGCCGGCGGGGCCTGCAGGGCCTGCAGCCGCTGCCACTTGAGGAGGGCAGGCCCGTCGCAGCAGATCCGCCAGCGGTTATGCCAGGAGCGCAAGTCCAGGGCGTGTTCTGCATGGAGAACGGTGGGTCAGGGCCTTGGGCAAGCCCCCGAGCCCGGGGACCCTCCTGGACGCTGTGCCTGGTCCCAGGGACCGAGGGTGGGGGCCAGCCAGCAGGACAGGTCACAGGGGCAGGGCGTGGACACCGAGTGGCACTCCTGGCCGTGGCTGTGACCCATCGGAGCCCCTCTCTGAGCCGGACACTGAGGCACTGATGGATGAAATGACACTGTGGACTTTGCTTCAGAACCACCGAGGGTGGGGAGCGGCGGTCAGAGCCAGCCGAGGGCAGCCACCGGGAGCGCAGGGCGCGGGGCTGGGCCCCAGCGTGGGGAGGGCCTGACCCCCACAGGACGAAGCTAACACCTCACGGCACACCCAAAACCAACTCAAAACCCATTGGACGGAAACATGGGAGCAAACAGCGCACCTTCTCCCCGACCCCCTATGCTTGGGTTCCTCTGAAAACCCAGACTCAGGCCCCAGGCCCAATCCAGCCCTCCCGTTTGTAAATAAAGTTTTATTGGGATGCAGCAATGCCCAGTCATTGCGGATCACCTGTGGCAACTCTCACGAGAATAACGATTATCCAGCCGCTTCCAGAAAATTTTCACCAGCCCTTGGACTAAAAAAAGCCAACGTCCCTCCTGACCCAGACCCCCAGGGACCTAGAGGTGGGCATGCCACTCCAGACCAAGGCCACCCGTCGCTGACCCGCTCTTTCTGGTTCCAAGATGATGCTGTCACGAGGCCCCGCAGAGCGCGTGGGAGGTTGGTGCTGATTTCCAAGGAAGCCAGTGCTGAGCGGTTGGGAAGCCCCTGAGGCAGCGCTCCTGGGCCTGGGGCCCCCCACGGCAGCGAGGATTTCCCTGCCCCCTCCTGGTGCTGTGAACCCCCTTCCTGGGGCAGGGAGATAGGCCAGCTGCAGTCTCGCCAGGTCACCTGGGAGGCCTCTAATGCTCTGCTGCATTTTTGCCACCTGTGGGACGAGGCCACGTGCACGGTCAGCCTGGTAACCCTGGGAGGGCCAAGACTGAATGGGGGCCCGTGTTATGGGATCATTGGGGACAGAAGGAAGGCTGGCCCTCACGGCAATCCAGGGCACTAGGAAAGCTGTGGGTGCCGTGGGCTGAGTTTGCAGACCGTGGTTTAGTTGGCCATCTCACAGCTGACAGGACACGGAATCAAAGGCGGTCAGAGCAGAGAGAGGCTGAGAGCCGTGCGTGGCACCCTGCCCGGCCCTCCCCGGCCCCTCACACACTCACCGCTTAGGGAGCTTCAGCCATGATGGCAGGAAGCTCAAAAAGCAAGCCGGAGGCAGGGGTGGGGAGGAGGGAGGCCAGGCAGGAAGGAGGGAGGGAGCCGGAGGCAGGCTGGGGAAGGGCATCAGAGAGGAGAAGCCACGGGAGACGAGAACAACATGGCAGCAGCAAGGGGTGCTAGAGAAATCCGCCCTCTTCAGAGAACCTTCAGCGTAAGCCTGCCTCCCCACAGCCCTCCCAAACGCACGGAGCTAGCTGGCCGCCACTGTCAGCAGCCCTCCCTGAACGCAGTGTGTCCACCCAGTGCGTCCAGACGCCCCTTCACCGGCCCTCACTGCCCAGGCCCTCGCTTCCACGGACCTCCCCTCTCACCTCCTTCTGGGCCCTCAGGCACCGCGGTACCCAGTAAGGCATCACCGCCTGGTCTCTAGGTGTCGGGAGGCGGCCCCCAAACCGGCGGGACGGGCAGGGGCACCTCTGAGAGGTCCGGGGGCTGTGAGCCTGGGCCACCGTCTGGGTCCAGCAGAAAGAAAGAGAAGGGAACGCTGAAAGGGCGCCCATGGTGCCCCGGACGAGCTCCCCCTCGGCCTCAGCATCGGCCAGGCACCTGGCAGCCCTCACTCTGCAGCCTCTCACCACTCCCCCGCTCCTGTGTCCCAAGCCTGGATCCCCTCTGTGACACTTGGGCACAATGAGGTCTCCCTGAGCCTCGGTGCCCCTGCTGCCTGTTCACTCAAAGACCGAATCCGTCGGGGTCAGATGGACAGCAGGGGCCCTGGGCGGGGCAAACAGTGACGTGCTTGGCTGCTCACTCGAAGGTTGCAGGGTCCAGTCCACCCGGGGGCACCTCAGAGGCCTGGAGACCCACTTCTAAAAAAGTCAGCCACTGAATACGCCACGGGCACAGCCAGGCTCTGACCCACACGGGGCGCCAGGAGTTGGCGTCGACTCCCGGGCGGCCGCTGTGGGGGGTCCCTGCCATCTCAGCTGCGGAGCTGTTTCACAGGTGAGCACTGATGCCCACCCCACCAACTGCGCACTCCACACACGTGCTGGTTCTGTGCCAGCCCGCCTCTGTACACCTAACGTCACCCATATAAGCTCTCCCGGTTCCAGCAGGTCACTTCCTCTCGGGAGGCTCGCCTGTAAGCCACCTACCTGCTTCCGGGGCCGCAGGGACAGAGGCACCCAGTAGGGCAGCGTGGCCTCTGCCCTGGGCACAGGCAGGTGGCCCCCAGGTCCTGTCCGGCACCAATAGAAGAGGAGCTCCCGGGGCACCGGGCTGGGGACAGGGCACACCTGGCAGACCCAGAAAAGACAGGGGTGCGTGTGAGGAAGAGCAACCGGCGCCTCCAGGTGGGAGCCATCCTCAGCCAGCCCCTCCTGCTATGAGCTAAGCCAGTCTCAGGGTCCCCGCAGGGACCCTCACTGCCCCCGGGCATTGGTGAGGATGGGGCTGTCCCGCAGGCCAATCAGGAAGGCTCCTGCATCCAGGGAGCTGTCGTGGGGCCCGGGGGGTAGCAGTGACTCTGTCTAGAGGTTTGAGGGGCACAGCAAGGGCCCCACACCCCCCACAGGCATGTTGGGTGGGGCAAAGTGACCCAAGGCCAGCTCCCCTACCTGGCGTCCTATCCCAGAGGCCTGAAATGTGCTTCTCCTAGGAAAGAAGGCATGCAGGCTTAGAAGGTTCTGGATGCTGTGGGAACTGGGGGGGGGGGCAGGACAGGGGCAGGGGACGGGGGGGGGGGAGGGGGGCACGGGGGGGGGGGACATGGCAGGGGACGTGGTACAGGCACAGGGTAGGTGCACAGTGGGGGGACAGGGCAAGAGTTCAGGACGGGGTTACAGGACGGGGGTGTGGGACGGGGGCACAGGGTGGGGGCATGGTAGGAGGACAGGATGGGGGTGCAAGGTGGGGGTCAGGGCAGGCACAGGGTAGGGGCCCACGGGGGTGCAGGGCGGAGCTGCAGGGCGGCCACCCTGGAACTGAAGCTCCTCATGGGCCCCAGCGTCAAGGGCGGTCTCACAGGCCAGCATCGGCGTCCCTGTGCCCACCCCGCTGGCTTCTGGAACGTTCCAGCTAAGTGTGTGGCAGCCTGTCCTGAAAGCAGGTAGGGTTTCAAGATGGGGAGGGGCTGCTGGCTGCTGGCCACGCCGGGGTGCCCTGCAGACACCCGAGGCCACAGGATTCCCACAGCAAACATCACCCACGCTGCGCCTCAGGCAGCCTCTCTCAGCCTCCAGCCGTTCCTCATCTCGGCGGCAGGGCCTGCAGCGCCCCAGCCAGGCCACAAGATGGCCTTGAAGCACCGGCTGGGCTGCGGCCCAGGGCAGCGCGTGGACCCTCGCTCTGTCAGTTCTCCTAGTGCACGAACCGACAGGCCCTGGGGCCCACGCTCCCGGCTGATGCTCTCAGGCAGGCCGAGTGGCATGCGCCGCCCATGCAGCCCTGCCAGTTCCTCAGGGGCCCGACCCCCATACCCATCCAGTCCCCGTAGTACAGGTGGGCCCAGCCCAGAAGGTGAGGTCCATCAGCAAATCCACCTGGTCCAGAGATTAGCTCAAAAAGTGTCCTGACTAAATCAGGCCAAAGAAACTCGATTCTGGGACCGTGTGTGAGAATTGCTGGAAAGGTCTCCTTCCCGCTGAGAGTGCTCATCTGCCAAGGCTCAAGAGCCGCAGGAGGGAGCCGTGAGCAGAGAGCAGCACTTCTGGGATCTCAGCCCCTACATGCCTGAGTCCATCCGCGCCTGAACCAAGCACTCCAATTACACGCAACAACAGCTCTCTGTGCCTCATCCGTGTGTGTGACTCCTGCCTGGCACCAGTGATGCACCTGGGGCTGGGCATTTGGGGACCTGGAGCTCATGGCTGTGAGCTCAGTGTCTACACACCTGTGATATGTGTGCGTGCGTGCTACAGGCCCGGACAGAGACCCAGTGATAGCCATGAATGCCAGGTGCGGATCAGACAGCACCGCCACGAGGATTGTAACAATACAGTTGTTGTTGTTGTTGTTGTTGTTATGTGCCAACGAGTCGGCCCCGACTCATAGCGACCCCTCCTTGGGTTTCTGAGGCAGTATCACTACAGTAGATTGCCCAACCTTCCTTCCGAGGAGTGGCTGGTGGGTTTGAACCACCAGCCTTCTGGTTAGTGCTCAAGTGACTTAGGCACTACGCTACCAGAGCTCCTACCATACAGTTAGTCAGAGACTACCTGACGCATTCTGGTCACCAAGCGCTGCCACACACGTGGTCCCCAGGTTCCTCAAATCCTGTACCACCGGCTCCTCCAGGAACCACTGCCTTTCCACAGGAGAGCGCACCCTCCCGGCCTCCTCCCTGCCCCCTCCCTGAGCTCGGCACTCCCACCCTCCCAGCCTGGCCCTCAGGGACTGCTTCTCCACACACAGCTCCAGCAGCCTCTCCTGGCTGGGCCTCGCCCACACCCCAATCAAGGATGGGAGCATGCTGAGCCACCAAGTGCCCTCTAGGACTTGACCTTGAGCTCGTGGCCACTGGTTCCCTTGGGCCCTAGGAGGGCAGCAGCGGGACTGGATGGGGCTTGATCGGCCCGGGGAACAGAAGGCAGGCCAAGTCCTTCCACGGATCCCCTCCTGGGCCTGGCTACGGTGGGTGCCTCCCCCTGTAGCCCCCACCCCTGACCCCAAGAGAACCCCCTCACCTCTTCCAATAGACGAGCCCGTGGGTCCACGGGGCTCCCCGTCCGGGGTCCTGGTGCCCTGGAGTTGTGAGACAAGACAGCTGGAACCAGCATGCAGGCAGTGTTGGGGGGAAAACACGGGTGCTCAATTAAACACAAAGGCTGGGCAGACACCGTGTTTCAGGGCACCCATGCTCCGTACAAAAGGAGCCATGCCAGTGCAGTGGTTAGACACTCAGCTGCTAACCGAAAGGTCGGTGGTGGAAACCCACCAGCCACCTGGGGGAGAAAGATGCAGCAGTCTGCTTCCGTAAAGATGACAGCCTCAGAAACTCTACGGGGCAGGTCTGCTCTGTCCTAGGGGTCACTGTGACTCGAAATCCACACAATGGCAGTGGGTTCCAGGTTTTGTTTTGTTTTTTGATGTCCCATACAACGAATCTCAAAAAACTCTCACTGCTGTCGAGTTGGACCCTACTCATAGCGACCCCTCCGTGGGTTTCTGAGGCAGTATCTCTATGGAAGTAGATTGCCCAACCTTCCTTCTGAGAGGTGGCTGGTGGGTTTGAACCGCCAGTCTTCTGGTTAGCAGTCAAATGCCTTAGGCACTACGCCACCAGAGCTCCTATATAAGGAATAAGGAGGACCGATGAAGAATTAATGACTTTGAAATATGGTGTTGGCAAGGAAAGCTGAACACCACGGCCTGCTGGAGAACAAGCACGTCTGTCCTGGAAGAAGCACAGCCAGCAGGCGCCTTAGAAGGGAGGACGGCCAGACACGGTGTCACAAGGGACCAGTCCTGGAAGGATATGAAGCCTGGTGGAGGGTCAGCGAGAAAGAGGAAGCCCCTAACGAGATGGACTGACACGACGGCCACAGTCCTGGGCTCAGACACAGTAACCACCGTGACCACCGTGAGGCTGCGGGGACCGGCCAGTGTCTCGTTCCGCCGTACACAGCGTCCCTGCCGGGGCTGACTCGGCCCTTAACAACAACACGTGATATTCAGGCGGTACTTACACTAGGAATTAATTGTTGTTTACCTGAAATTCACATGATTTACTCCCCAGATCAGGTTGCCCCACTGTGGCCTGCACTTGGCTTGTAGGGAAATGGGTGTTTGCTCAGCAACGTGAGGGCACTGTGCTCCAAGGCTGGGCTGACTGGGAGTGTCCTGTCTGTCACCACCAACTAGTTCAGACAAAGCCCTGTATGACATGTGTGTGTATGACACGTGTGTACGCATGACCCATGTGCACAAGTGTGTTCAAAAATGGGTGCATGTGTGCAGGTGCATGAATGTGCATGTGTATGTGTATGTGTGTGTACATGAGTGTAGCAGGCACACAGATGTGCATCTTATTGCACGTGTGGTACATGTGGGCAGTGTGCATGTATACGTGTGTGCATGTCTGTATGCGCATATGGACACACGCAGTACATAACTGTGTGCACTTACACTGTATACTTGCGTGTAGTGTGTGCGTGAGTACTGTGTGTGCACGTGTGTGTAGTGCATGTGTGCATGGCATGAGCAATGCCATCACCAGTCTCCACACAGCTGGGGCAGAATCCCGCAGGAACTCCCATCCCCGGGCATGCCCATGGGCTCTCTGCCGTCTGTTTTCCCACGCCCGCCGGAACATCGCTGTGCCAGCAGATAGAGGAGGCAGGCTTGTCACATGGGAGCCTCAGCCCTTCCCTAGGCACTGTTTGCCCCTGTTGGGCATGGACCCAAGCGCAGTGAGCACGTGAGCCCAGAAGACACAGGGCAGACATCTCCAGCTCCTCCTCCGTCACAGTCACCCGGAAGAGATCCAAAGTCTATCCACAGGAAGAACACAGGCTCACAGCCAACCAGGAAGGTGACCCCACGATGCACCCGCTGCACAGGCAGACCGGAGGAACTGCAGCGGACTCCCAGCCACCTGCAGGCCCACGGAGCTCGCAGACGCCAGCGAAGGTCCATCCAGCCCCCCACCCCCAGTGTTAGCATAACGGCCAAACACACCCTGACGTGGCTGCTCCCTTGTAAGCATGTCCACCAGGAGCCTGGCTTCCCTAGGCCTCAGTTTTCACCTGTGCCACATGGTGGCGACAGGCCTGACTGCAGGGCAACAGGGAGACAGGATGGGAGGAAGGGCTTCAGAGTGTGGCAACTGCCCGTCGGCAACAGCTCCATGACCACTGGTGAAGCTGAGGCCTGGCCACCCCAGGCCCCGGCAGTCAGGCTACCATCCACGGGGGGTTTCCCATCCTGGGACATGGGAGCGCCCTGCCCCACCACGTGCCAGTCCCTCACCCGACTCTCACCCGTCTCGCCCAGAGCCACTGACCGCATCGCTGCCTCTCAGTCCACCTGCCTCTCCACCTGCAACATCACACCAGTGTCCCTGTCAACAGCCACAGGCATCACCCAGGGACTTGCCTCCTCCGTCCCCTGGTCCCCCTGCAGCCTGCTGGGGACACGGAATCACCGTCCCCCTCCTACGGTCATACGTGGATGGGGCATGGCTGGTTAGGCCAGAGCCCAGTGCCTCCCCATTGTCCCAGCCCCACCACCTGGCACCGAGGCCAAAGTTCAAGTGTTTTCTCTGAGGTAGCCACAACGTTACCTAGAAGCGGGGTCCAGCCTGCCTCATCTCCACGGCCATGACACCCAGGGAGGGTGTTCCACTGGAACCTGGAATGTTGGGCACAGAAGCGAGAAGTTCCACAGTGAGCTGACCTGGCCCTGGCCTCAGGCAGGCCAGCACTCACTGCCTCAGGGGACAGCTGTGATGCCACTTCTGGGGGTGACAATGGCCTTGAATGGGTGGCAGCCACAGATACTGCTCAACCCTCTCCAGTGCACAGTGGAGCCCCCACATGCCAGCAGTAGTGAAGGTGGCTCCTGCTCCCACAAAACGGCCTAGACTGGGGGCAGTGTCAGGGAGCCTGCAAAGGCCCCAGTTAACATGGTAGTCCGGGAACGCTCAGGCTGCGTCCTCCCCAGGCGACAGCCAGGCCGTTTCTCCTGTCAAGGCTTCAGGTCTGCCGACCAGCCCAGACACACAGCCGGCCATGCTGGCCAGTGGAGTGACATCCCTCAGAGCCTGCCAGTCCCCAGCTGCTGGTGGAGGCCACCAGCACGTATTTGAAGGCCCGCACCCCATCCCGGTCCAGTCCCTTGGGCCACGCGAGCTCCTGGCCTGGTGCGTGTCTCTCTCCTTGTCCTGTGACTGCTCACCCCCAGGGCTGGAGCAGAGCAGCGAGTCACCACCTGTGTGTAGGCGGGATGGGGGGAATCATTCCATGAAGGCAGGAAACTCAACCGTTCTCAGAACCAGGCACGAGCCTCACCGCTCCCCCCAGTTAGGTCCCCAAAGAGACAGATCACACAACAAGGTTTCCAAAATGTATTTATTGAAAACTGAAGGAGACACAAGCACCCCGGCCCCTGGGGCCGAACCTCGGCAAAGGCACCCACAGAGGCTCCCCTCGCGTCCCCCGCAGCGAGACGGGCTGATGCTGTCGAGCACTGTGCTTCTCCCCCTCAGGGGTCTGTCCATCCCGGACCTGGGCGATGTCACAAACAGGACAATCGTTCTCTACTCTGAGAGGCCGTGTACACAAGTAACATTGAGAGAGAATCAGAAACCACCACCCACCTCCCACCCGAGCCGTGTCCTGGCTGGGCTCCCTGCTCACCAGCAGAGAGCAGGCCCTCAGGAGCTCCCTCCCTGCCTGCACCCCAAGGCTGCCATGCAGCGCCAGGCCGTCTGCTCTCAGGTCCTCCAGACGGCACAGCTGTGCCCCCAGCCAGAGCAGCCACCACCAGAAACGAAGGCCAGTGACCCATGTGCTTTGTCCCTCCAGGACATGAGGCGGATCTGTGCCCATACCAGGTGAGGTGAGCTGAGGGTTTACGGTCAAGCCAGGTGAGGACTGCAGCCGTGGGCCCAGGGACCAGAAGGCGCGAGCGTGCATGCCACTCCCGGACCCGCCACTCCACGTCTGCGGGACAGTCTCCAGACCGACCAGCCTTTTAAAAGCTCCCACCACCTGTGCTTCTGCGTCAGCTGACCTCTAAGTCCCTTCGCCTCCCAAACCCACGGCAGCGTCCTCACTGGCCTCTGTCCCTGAGCCTCAGCAGGCCCTCCCGGGCCCTCCGCTGGTAGAGCCCGGCCATGGAGTTGTCAACAGGGCACTCCAGCCTCTCAAGAGCCCCGCAGGACCCTTCCTGGTGACCTCGCCACAAACACTCCCTCCTGACATAATGCTGAGACCACATGTGACAGGTCTTCATCTCAAATCCAGGGGAGGCCAGCAGGGGCTCCATCCAAGTTCCAACTGCTGGGAAGTCACCGACCACTAAGCCCATCCCAGCCACCTAACTCCTCTCTCATCCTGACGTCAGCATCGAGGCAATTACGTCTCACGCCGTTCATCACGCTTATGAGAAAGAGACTCTGACCTGCCCATAGGGGAGAAGCAGCGGGCAGAGGCCACACCAGCTCCCCACGTCCAGTGCTCGCAGGCCCTGGAGCCGGGCCTCTGCGTCACCTCGGGTTCAGCTCCCCACATCCGGGACTCACAGGCCCGGGAGCCGGGCCTCTGCGTCAGCTCGGGTCGGCCTCCTCTCCTCGTTTCTCTTGCAGACATGCTGAGCTGCTGGTGCCGTGGCTACTGAGGAACGGACAGGCGTAGGGGACAGGTGCTACAGCATGGGGCGGGCCGGGCCCGGCACACAGCCCCTGCACAGGGAGCCGTCAGGAAGTGAGGGACTGGATGTTTTTGAGCATGTCATCGAAGGCCTGCAGGGAGGGCGCGTCGGCGTTCTGGAAGGTGGCCTTGACGCGGCTGTACAGGCTGAAGGACTTGAGCTCCAGCCAGATGAAGCCAAAGCGGTCCTCGTCGAAGAGGACGAAGACACCCGGGGTGCGCTCGGGGCTGGTGAAGCCGTGGCCCGCGATGAGTCCTGTGCCGTAGAAGCTGAACAGCAGAAAGGAACAGGGTGAGTGGCCTGCGAGACAGCACACGTCTGCACGCCAGGACACACGGCAGTGTTCCAGAACTCTGCCTTCCTCCCGCGGTTCACCAGCCACCTCAGCACAGCTATCTCGAAGGGATGCTCAGTCAATGGGACTTGACAACCCGGGCCACTGAGATTCGGAACAGGATGCCGGGGCCACCTGGGCAGCCAGCCGCCTGCGGACCACCACCCTCGCTGCCCACAGGACTGGACAAGGTCCTCGTGGCTCCACAGGTGAGTCAGCCCCAAAGCGCACGTACTGGTCCAGCTGGACCAGTAGCAATGTGTCCGTGTCTGGGACGAGGGGCTCAGAAAGCACACAGAATGCAAACAGCATGACCCCAGGGGCAGGTCTTTTAACCCCCGCTGCTGACCAAGTTTCAAGACTAATTCTAGACTGAAGTGTGCTCAGGTCTGACTCTCCGAAATTCAGAGCTCAGTGCAGCCAACAGACGAGAAGTCGGGGGCTGGCCCCGCTCCCAGCACGTGGACCCCATGGGGTGCGAGGGGAGAGAGCAGCCGGGCCTGAGGGTCTGGGGGCGCAGACCACAGGCAGCCGTAGTGCTGGACATAGAGCAGAGGAAGCACGCAGCAGGCAGTGCCCAAGAGGCTGCATGGCCTATGGACACACATGGAGGCAGGACAGAGCACACAGACCACCTGGCCCAGGGCCCCCGACACCCAAGGCCAGCAGGCCAGCGGGGACTGGCCCAGAGCTGTGGGGGCCGGGGACGTTGCAGGGAGAGCACTGAAAGTGGCCTCCTCCTCGGACCACTCAAAGCTATACCGAGCCTACAATCCTATCGGTGGTCGTCATGAGAACTGTGTGCACGGCCGCTGGCTGGACAGTAGGCCCCAAACCCTGCTGGGCCCCCGGAGCCCCTTACCACATCCTGCAGTGGTCATCATGAGAACTGTGTGCACGGCTACTGGCTGGACAGTAGGCCCCAAGCCCTCCTGGGCCCCCGGAGCCCTTACCACATCCTGCAGGTGCGGGGGTAGTCCTCATTCCGTGAGCTCACGCCCAGAGGCAACACAAACGGTTGTCCCGGCTGGCTGGGCTGCTGGGCCGCCACCCCGCCATCGCCCACGGGCTCCTGGCAGCCCTCGGCAGACCCGGTGGCGGCCCCCTTGGCTGGCGGCTCCCCGGCAGGAGGGGCAGGGCCCTGGTCGTCCTCGTGCACGCCCTCCTGCCGCTGCTGCTCCTGCCGCACCTGCTCGCGCACCTCCAGCACCACGCGGGACAGCTCGTTGAAGCTGCACAGGTTCTCAGCCTCGGGCAGCTGGATGCGGTGCTGCAGGTCCACCTCCACGGTCTGCTGCCCCGCCGGGATGTTGGGGTCACCCTAGAGGGACACAGGTGCCAGCTGGGAGGACCCAGTGAGACTGACGGCTGCCCTCCAACCATCCCACACATCTAGGTTCCTATTCTGGAATATTCCAGCTGCTGCCCACGAAAGCAAGGGATTGCCCATGGGCTGCCTGGATGCCTGCCCATGGTACCAAAGCCCCGGGACAGCACCTGGCATCAGGGTGTACTAAACCCCCAGGTGTTTCCCAGAGCAGCCGAATTTGAGAACCAGCATGGTGACACGATCCAGTCCCCAGGGCTCCCGAAAATGCTGGTTCTGACTTGGCAGGGAAACCAGGATGCTGCATTTCTGACAGCGGGACCTACTCCATAGCCTGGGCCCACTCAGGTAGGGCACGTAGCCTGCCCAGGTGCCCCAGGCCCACACACACTGCGCCCACACACTCACGGTGATCTTGGTGCCCCGAGCCCGCCTCCCGTGGAAGCTGAGCAGGACAATCTCCAGGCCGTGGCTGCCGTAGGTGCCCTTGAAGAGGCCGGGCCTCATGAGGTCATCAGGGTGGCTGGGCGGGAGGTAGATCCGCCGGTATGTCAGGCAGTTGCTGCAAGGGGAGGAGGGTCGGCTCGGAGCCGGGCAGAGCCACACTGGGAGAGCACCAGGACGTGGGCCAAGACCAGCGTCAGTTGTCACCAGGCCTAAGGGGCAGGTGCACCCTGCCGAGGCTCAGTCTGACCCATTTCTCTGTCCCCTCTCCTGGGTGGACACCGTGGAAAGGGCCGTGTCGTGGTTCTTCCCCAACTGCTCCCATTGTGGGAAGGGCCACATGGATCGACCCCCACCCCAGCTGGCACACTGGCTTGCGCTGATGGGTGGCGCGGCCCCGCCCCCACGGCACGGCCCTGCCTGGCACACTCACTCGTACTGACTGGTGTAGATGAACTTCATCAAGATCAGCTCCTGCATGTGTTCATGGAAGATGTCTTCCAGCGTCCGCCCCCACTCTTCCCGCAGCCACGTCCGGAACTCCTTGAGACAAAACACAGCCGTGGGGGTCACCGTGATGCAACGCACAGAGGGACACAGTCCTGGCATCTGAAAGCCTGGCCGCCAGAGGCCTGCCCTGCACCACAAGGAGAGGCGCACTTGCGACGGCACGGGAGGGTGGGCAGTAGGGGCGCGGAGTCCACCCCGCCATCAGCTCAGACCTCGCTCCAGAGCCTCGACGCTGCGGCAGAGGTCTGTCAACATTGCACGCCTCGGAGGAGGGTCTCAGGCTTCCTCAGGGTGGGAGGTGCCAGGACACGTCTCATAAACCCTTGGGCTGAAGCTCAGATCAGCCAGTGCTGCTCCTGGTTGCTTCCGACTAGGAACACAGACTGACACAGCTGGGGGTAGGGATCTTCTATAAAACGTGCTTCGTGGTGAAGGGGTACTCTCAGTAAACATACTCCTACACCCCTCATCCCCAAAGCTCAAGACTGCAGCAGGTATCTCTCAGTCAGGAAAGCGAAGCCGACTTAGTGCTCAATGGTCCAAGAACCAGCGTCCCTCCTCCAGAGTCCTGCATCGCCAACTCTACAGAGTTTGTTGGGATTATTCAGAATCGGTGTCTACAATCACATACAAAAGCAATTTCCCAGGAACAGGAGAGCTGCAATATATCAACTGCCTTGGCCTGTTACTGCCCCAACAGAAATTACTCATGTGAGTGAGCCCACAACTGTGAAAACCAGTAAGAAAATCTGGCAAGGTTGCAGGACATAGTAAGATCAATAGACAAAATCAAATGAATTTTTAACAAACTAGCCACAAACAACTGGAAAATTAAATTTTTAAAATTCTATTTTAACTGTCTCAAAACACATAAAGGACTTAGGAATAAACTTAACAAATATGTGTAAGACCTCTATTCTGAAAACTACAAAACACTGGTAAGAGAAATTAAAGAAGACATTACCGAAATTAAATAAACCAGTGCACCACGTGTATGTACCAGAAGACACAATGTCGTGAACAAAGCGGGTCTCTCCAATTCATCTACACGTTCATCATCAGGCTAGTCATGACCCATTCACCAAACTCGTGGTGGAAACTGACTGCTGACTCCAGTTCACATGGTTACACTGAGAACCTACAACACACAAAGCGACCCTGAAACAAGAACCAAGACAGGAACAGGAGAACATGCTCCGTCTCTCATTACAACTTACTATATGGCCACAGAGATCGAAACAGCAGTAACGGCACGACAACCAACCAACAGACCAGTACACCCAAACAGCCCAGCAACAGCCCGTACTTATCTGGTCAGGTGACGTTCAACAAAGTCGGCAAAGCAACCCAAGGGGCAAAGGGAAGTCTTTTCAACAAATGGAGCTTAAACAGCTGGATAACCACACAGACATTAAGAAATTAACCACAATCCCTACCTCACACCATACACCAAAAGCAGCTCAGTAAAGATCACAGACCTAAATGCCAAAGACACATGTAACAGAAAGCGACAAAAATCCCAGGGGAGAAAAGAATACCTAGGGACCATCTTTGCAACTAAGAAGCAAGCAAAGATTTTTAGGCCATAGGAAACAGCCATGACGAAAAAATTGCCAAATTACACTTCACCCAAATTAAAACTTCCACTAAAGTGACTGAACCTATGGGGGGGCAACACTAAAAAACAAACAGTAAATTGTAGGTAACAAAAGCCAAGTGTACAGAATGTCAGGAGACAAAGTGCACGTGAGCTGCTGTGTGGAAAGTGAATTTGCTCTGTAAACTTTCACCCAAATCACAATTTAAAAAAACAAGAAAAGCAAGTGTACGACAAAAATAAATTACGTTTTTTTTAAAAAAGGGACTGTAATGAGCAAGTATGTCACTACTGACGTAGCAAAGAGTTCAACTTGAAGTGAATACCATCCTGAAGAGACTGCACGTAGTTTTAATTTTATTGGCTGTGTGCATAGGGCAAAGTCCAACCCAATTACTCACATACAAATTTATTACAAAACTATGTCACAAGGCAAGATACGTATGTGCAAGGAATAAAGGTGGGCCTAGAACACACATCAAAGGCACTCTGGTGGTGCAATGGGGAAAGCATTTGGCTGTTAAGCAGAAGGTCAGTGATTCAAACTCACCAGCTGCTCTGCAGGAGGAAGAGGAGGCAATCTACTGCCATAAAGATTTATAGCCTGAGAGATCCTATGGGAGTTGCTATGTGTCAGAAGTCACTCAATGGCAGTGGGTTTGGTATGGCTTTTGGTCAGAACACATTAAGACCACAGTAAACACAATCTCTGTCCAGGGCTGGCTGACCACATACTGGGCGCTATGCTAAGCATCCACACACCTCTGGCTCAATCTGCGTGACGGCCCCATGAGGTGGCCCGAACATCTGCCCCATTTTATAGGTAACGGGACGCTTAGAAGGGTCAGACACCTGCCCAAAGCTACCCAGCTGCTAAGGGCAAAACTGGAACTAATCCAAAGTCCATGTGCTCTTTCCACAGGAGCATACCAGGGTGCCAGGAGTCCAGGGCCTGGGGCAACTGGATGGGCCCAAGCAGGAAAAAGAGAGGACTAGTGGCAGTGTCCCCACCAGGGACTGAGAAGACACAGGAGGTCAAGGTGGATCAGGAGTCATGGCTGCTGGTCCACAGACCATACGAGGGCTGGGGCCAGGAGACCATGTGCCTGGAAGCTGGCCAATGTCCCTGTCAGAGTCTGGGCTTGGTGTTCAAAGGTGCTCAAACCTGGCAGAACTCACAGATAATGGAGTTTGGGTATAAATTTGAATCAGGAGGGTTGGCACACCTGGTGAGCATGTTGTTGTTATTTGCCATCGAGTTGGACCCAACTCATAGCAACCCCTCCTTGGGTTTCCGAAGCAGTATAAGTACGGAAGTAAACTGCCCAACCTTCCTTCCGAGGAGTGGCTAGTGGGTTTGAACCGCCAGCCTTCTGGTTAGCAATCAAGTGCCTTAGGCACTACGCCACCACCACGGCAGCAGGGCTGGCTAACAGAAGGCAATGCATTAATGAAAGGGGAGGACCAAGGGAAGGGATCCTGGATGAAGCTAGCCCTCAATAAGACCATACGTAATAATCTAAGCGACTGTGTGGTGAGTAAAAAAAGTCTTCCCACCTCTGTCACCTCCACAGATCTACTGAGAAAACGAGAACCACGTTATCTTCAAAGCACATTTTGCTTTTTCTGAGTCTCTCTGCCACTCTTGGGTTAAGAAGGAAGCTTCTGGAAACTGAGAAATTGGCCAAGAAATAAACACCCTAGAAATATACATCAGCTGCAGCAGAATCCAAGATTTTAGAAGTTCAATTTCTCAAAAATATTTTAAAACTGGCATATGACTTAAAAAAAAAAAAAAAAAAAAACTCACTGCTGTCAAGTCATCAGATCCAACTCACAGCGACCCCTCCTTGGGTTCCTGAGATGATACCACTGTGGAAGTAGATTGCCCAATCTTCCTTCCGAAAAGCAGCTGGTGGGTTTGAACCGCCAGCCTTCTGGTTAGCAGTCAAATGCCTTAGGCACTGTGCCACCAGAGCTCCCATATGACTCAGATGCACCAGAAATGAAAACTCCAAAGAGAAGTGAACGTGCATATGGCAAACAAAACGCACAGAGCCTCTGTGGCGTTCACGATGCAACACAGCCACGTGTGACGTGCAGGTCGACCCAGGCCTGACTATGATCTGGAAACTTCACCCCAAACTCCACTCATGGGAGGAGGACAGAGGCCCCAAGTGAAGCCACTGGGTCCCCTGGCCACCAGAGGCAGCCTCACTGCAGGCCCCTCAGCCAGGTGGGTGCTCCATCTACAGAGAAACCACAAGAGAGCAACTACTTCCTTCTGAACCATCCCTTCTGAGACGGATGGGGAGCTAACACTGACACCACACCCACGGACTCACATCCACGGGTCGCGCCTCCTAACACACGAATACGGATGCTCTGTGTACACATATCCTTAGGATGCCCTAACGTGTGAATACAGATGCACCATGTATGCATGTCCACAAGATGCCCCTTCTAACACAATATACATGTACCATGTATTCACATCCATGCAACTCCCTAACATGTGAGTACAGAAGCACGGTGTACACGTGTCCTTGGGACACCCCTTCTAACATGCAAGTACAGAAGCACCATGTATACACATCCACAGGATGTCCCTCCTAACATACAAGTACAGAAGCACGGTGTACATGTGTCCTTGGATGCCCTAACATGTGAGTATAGACACACCATGTATACACGTCCATGGAAGACCCCTTCTAACACACGAGTACAGAAGCACTGTGTACACATGTCCTTGGGACACCCCTTCTAACATGCAAGTACAGAAGCACCATGTATACACGTCCACAGGACGTCCCTCCTAACATACAAGTACAGAAGCACATGTACACGTGTCCTTGGGACGTCCTAACGTGTGAGTACAGACACACTGTGTATACACATCCACAGGACGCCCCTTCAAACACATGAGTACAGAAGCACCAGGTATACACCGTGTATACACAGGACTCTCCTTCTAAGTAACGAGTACAAAAGTACCACATACGTGTGTCCATGGGATGCTCCTTCTAACACATGAGTACAAACGCACTGTGTACACGTTCTTGGCACACCCTAATGTGTGAATACAGATGCACTACATATACATGGTCCATAGGACGCCACTTCTAACACACAAATACAGAAGCACCATGTATACACATCCACAGGACGCCCCTTCTAATGTATGAGTACAGAAGCACCTTGTACACGTGTCCATAGGATGCCCCTTCAAACACACAAGTACAGATGCACTGTGTACGTGTGTCCACAGGAGGCGCCTTCTAACACACAAGTCAGATCCTTGCTCTGCATGGATGACATCCAGTTGAACCACATGAAACATGGAGGCCACAGTCAGTAATTTCAAATAGTTCAACCTGCCACATCTACACTTTGTCACACCAGCCCCCAGGGAGCGAGGGGCCCTGCCCCGGGCAGCGTGGACTCACCTCTTGCCTGCCGCCTGACATGCGGTGGTGATCCGTCTGGTTGCACTTGGTAGAGAACTCGTCCTTCTTCACAATCTTCCACGTTGGTGGCCGAGACAGGAAGAGCAACACCAAGTTAGTCACCCACCCCCGACCACCGCCCCCCTCCCCCGACCAGCCACAGGGCCGACCACGGCACTACCCAACTGCCCAGAGCACACAAATGCGAGGAGACAGCTCAGAGCCTGTACGGATCAGCCCTTCAGTAGGCAGTCGTTAGGGCCCCAGTGCGCTCTCCCAGCGGCACTTCACAGAGCAGCCAGACGGGCCGCACCCACGAGGCAGAGAGCACACTGCTGCCGCCCAGAAGCAAGGCGGCGCTCAGCACCGGCAGCTCACAGACAGACAGGAGCTGGGCTCAGCTGACTGACCAATGAACATAGACTCAACAGGGCTCTAGCAGCGAAGTCTGGAGTTACTGAGACCCCAAACCAAATGCCATCACGTCAATTCCGACTTCCCCAGGTCAGGGCTCCGGCAGAGACAGAAGCCTATAGCTAAGACCACCACACAGCCCCTCAGCCAATTTTCACATGGGATGGACTGGAATCCCAATGAACAGATGACACCTGAGCCTGCTCATCTAGAGGGACCCACCTGTGTCCTAGGGTCTAGCCCCCTCACCTGGATGTGGCCCACCTGACCTCACCTGGATGTGGCCGTGGTGGACCCATCACCTGTGTGTTCTGGGGCCCACCTGTCCTCACCTGGATGGGGCCCACCTGTCCTCACCTGGATGGGGCCCACCTGTCCTCACCTGGATGTGGCCGTGGTGGGGCCCCTTGTGGCCGTACATGCACTCGACCGTGGCAGACTTTCTCTCCATCAGGTGGATTCTGAACAGAGGTTTGAATCTCATGGGGTCGTCAACGTGAGGGTCATGGGGAGGCAGGTACATCCAGCCGATGATGAACAAGCCATCCACCTGCACCAAGCAGAGAGGCGAGACCGCAGGCGACTCACACAAGGCGCTATCGTGGAGCACTGGCCCGTCATTCCGTCCCAATGCGCATCTCTGACCCCAGCCTTCACTGTGCAGCGCCTGCTGGGCCAGGAGGCACCTCCCATGCAACATGTTTTGATGCGTCTGGCTCTGCCATGACGTTTGAGTCAACAGACTGGACTATAAGCAGGCCTTGAGCTGATTCCAGCTGGGGGACAGGGGACTAGCTAACTGACACCAGGAAGAGGCCAGAAAGTGAGGCACAAAAGGCCACCAAGGAAAAGTACACAGGGAAACACCAACACAGCTTTGCTCGGATCCTGATGGGAACAAGCCACCTGTTACAGGCACGCTCTGAGACAGGAATCCGGTCACGTGGAGCTGTCGTCACTGCCTCTGCAAGGCGACAGTGGTACGTGGGGCACAGGAGATACCCAGTCACTCTAGAGATGCCATCCACGTCTGGCAGGCTGGAATGATGCGAGGCCTCGGCATCTGCTTCGACACAAAGACCCAGGGATGAGCTAGGTGATGAGGGCCACTGAGTCTGGCGGTAGTGTCTGTGGTCTGCTGCTGTGCACATCTACATGGCGGCCAGACCAGATACAGTGCCCGGCAAATGCAGACAGGGCTCCGGAGAAGGCTGCCCCCATCCTGATAAGTCCGAGGCTGCCAGCCTCCCGCTCTGGTGACAGGAGATACACGCATCGCCCACTAGCTAACTGGCGACAGAGCCTGCTGGCGCTGCCTTCCCACCTTCCATGTTCCCCTTTCTGAGGCTGTCTTTTCTCACCTGCTGCCAGTAAGACGGCACCACGAGCCCTCCCAGACTCAGGGAGTGGGGACTGCCCACCTCGCTGGCCTCTGCAAGGTACACACAAAAGCCAGGCTTCCCCAGGGTATGAAACCACCCAATGGCGACACATCTTTGTGGGCCTCCCTGCCAAATTACGGAACAGTCAGCCTACTTCCCCGGCCTCCAGCCTCACTGGCGGCGAAATACCCAGTCATAGCATGCATCCCTGGTGGCCCCACGAAGCCCCGTGAAGCCGCTCGGCACTCACCACCACATTCAGCAGCCCCCCGTATGGCCCGATGTCCGGTTGCCAGAGCCCCAAGATGTGTCGGTACCGGTGAAGCACTGCAGGAAGAGAAAGCAGGGTGCACGTTAGACCCAGCGGGGACCATCGAGCATGCGATGTGCAGGCGGGGATGAAGGAACAACTTACAGGGCTACTGCAAGAGCTCTGTGAACAAATGTGGGTTTGACAGGTCTTCCCTACGAGTTATAAAGAGCACTAAGAATAAACACACCCTTAGAAAAAGAATGTAACAGACTGGGGTGCTTTTCAAACCAGCCTCTAACTGGCCACTTCCAACAGCAAGGACTCACACCTCATTGGACACTGGGGTGAGCGCTCGTTAGGTGATGAGTTTCCCGTCAGCACAGTAATCCAAGTAACTGGGAAATATTCTTGCATGGGAAGAAAACATTGTGAAGACGAAAATTCCTCCCAAGTTATTATAAACAGTGTAATTCCAACTGAGGTATAATTTGACAAAATGATCCCTAAGTTCATGTGGAAGAATCAACAAGACTATAGCAAATAACACGAGTGACTCAGAAAGCCTCAGCCCGCAGAGGGACAGCTAAGAGGGCCTACGTGAGGGGACAAGAGGCGGAGCTGGGAAGACGCCGGGCAGGCAGCGCCAGGGACTGGCCAGGGACTGACCCAGGAGTACAAAGGACACGGGCTTCAGGGGGCTTAGGACGCAAGGGGGTCCACACACTCTTCTTAGAAGTGCCACACTATCCCTATTTCAAAAGCAAGTTAGAGGCTTAGAGAGTCCTGGGCAATGAGCTCCAGAGGTCTGAGAAGCATGTGTTTCCAGAAGGTGGCTGACTGCTGGCTTCTGATCCAGTCAACCACTGTGCCACCAGCACCTGGCCCCTCATTCTCCAGCTCCCCACTCCGGCCATGTGGGGGGCCAGCCGGGGCTCAGCCTCCCTCAGTACTCAGGGCTGGCGTGTGCACGTCCCAGGCGACGCAGCTGCTCCCCGACAAGCAGTGACTGTCAACAACTCAACACAAGACTCTAACCACCCCGTCCTCTTCCGTTTGGCTTCAGTGGTCATTCCCAACCATGTAACCCCTGGCGTCTGGGACCTGACCAAGTTTACTGCTTGGCCTGACTGATGCCAGCCTCCCCTCTTCTCTGCTGCCCAGCTGCCTTGGGCACAGGATACTGCTTCTAGACCCAAACTCAAGCATGTCAATTTTAAAGACGGAGGACAGAGAGGAGGAGAAAATGCTGCCTTGATTAGATGCCGTTGCAAACCTGGTGAGGTGAACTGACATGGGGACCCAGGACGTTCCGGCCCAGAGGTGCTCACACAGGAGTGCCATCGGACCCTCGAGGGCTGCCAACTCACAGACTGTGGGGCCCAGCCCCAGAGTCTGACTCAGAAGGGCTGGCTGGGTGGGGCCCGAGAACTGTACTCTTCCCAAGTTCCCAGGGGGCCCACTTTGTGGAACCAGAGATCTGGCACAAGAGTGGAGCCTGGGAGAGGCGGGGCAAGATGGCGGACTAGGCAGAAGGATTGCACAGACCCTCTTCAACAAAGAAAAGGGAAACCAATTAACACAGACACAGAAG